AGCATGTAAGTGTTTTTCAACATTTAATTGTATTGTAAGCCAAAGATGCATGAGTTGACGTATAGAAAGATGAAATGAATCAAAATTTTATACAAGGAATATTTAATTATGGCTAAAATTGCTCATAGACTGAACTGTTCCTGTTTCACTGATAGTTACAACATTTTAAAGCTTAAGATGTTGGAAATGTGGATAATTTACTCTGTAGTAGGCAGCCATGCCTATCGTTACCAAAGGACAGCAAAATTCTCTGCTGTTTGAGCCAAAAAAATGATTTGATATGTCTCAGGAATTGATGGAGTGGAAAGCATCAATAGGAGTGGCGCAAATCCATGTGTTCTGTGAAACAAGAAGTTTTTCAATGTAAGCAAGAAGAAACACATTACTAATACAAAAAATTAAGAAAATAAGATTTGCATAGCCAAAAAGCATTGCAATTGACAATGGAACAGTGACAAAATGTCATATTTTCAGATGGGAGCTATTTTTCATTATCCAATTGATCAGCCCAATTGATATGTTGCAAAATGGACAAAAGATATTCAGAATGCCTTGTGAGATCTGAAAAGTATGCATCTGTGAGGGCCCGGATTTAAGAATGCTGAGATTCGAATATGTTTTTATTCATTTTCATCTACCGTTTTCGTTTCGAAACCAAAACAATTTTATAAAAGTTAGGGTTAACTCAAAAAGAGAAAAACAACCGACAAATTTTCTCATAAAAATCAATCATAAAACTCCGTTCCCACGAAAATACTTCCTTGTAGAAGATGAGTTAACTGTTGTGTCATAATTTTGTCACTTCACCCACCATTGGTCAAAGAAGATCATCACTTGTGACGTACATGGGGAAATCTCGAGAAGAGAGCCCCCACATAAAAGGCAAGTGCGATGACGGACGACACAGGGGGGAAAAGTTATTTTTCTGTACTGTGTGTGTGTGGATTACCTGCCTTTCATCGCCACCATTTTTGATAGAACTATTCTATGATTTGCGGACTTACGTCAACTCACGAACAATTTTAACGAGCCCGGGATTCGGACTCCAAGATCGTCCTGAAAACCCCATCCTGTACAACTAGAGGTATTTATCCTATCCGCGATGATATGTAAGCTCTCTCTCGAATATTTCCAACTCGCGGTTAAGGTCGTGACTAAATTATATTTTGTCTGCTATCCCAACCGAAATCTATGAATTATATGGATTGAAAGTCCTGAGAGGAAATTGTACCCTCGATTCCTTAATTAATCATCTACGTAAAAATGATCAACAATAAACAGGTATAATGTTAACGAATTTTGATTGGTTTTTCCGACATTATCACCTCCATACTGAACCCAAAGTCCTCCACAAGATCGCTCGTGATAATTTGTCAATTAAAAGTGTATCTTTCCGCTAAGAAATTGATATATTGGTGTCAGATCCTGACGGGAGAAAGGATTTAATGATCCTTAACTCTATAACCCCTTTCGCTCAACAGAACCCATCCTTTGAACAAGAGAGACTGGACCTCAAGGTCTTGAGTCGAGTAAGAGGTAGGAGAGTCAAGAACTCGTAAACATCCTACCTCCAATTAGTCTCACACATCTTCAGTAATGATTTGTAATGTAATCACATCACCTATAATAATGTTGGAAGGCTTTATTTTGTTGATGGCACAATGAATTTGAACCGGTATGAAATTACAGTAGAGCATCAATTATCCAAATATTGATCAACCAAAACATCAATTAACCAAAAGCTTTCCAGTCAGCAAATTTAAATTTTTGCTAGTGCTTTGGCCCTGCAATCTTTGGCTATGTCTTTGGCTACTCCAATATTATTTTTGTTGGTGTGCATGTTTTAGCTGGGAGCACTAGCACAACCATGAGAGGATACTTAAGGATGTGCCAGGATTTGGACAAATTTCAACATGGGATAGGTTAATATATTTTTCGTACATAATCGGTTATCCGAAAAATTGATTTTTCTGAACAACTCTATCCCCAATTGATTCGGATAATCGATGCTCTATTGTATTGTTAGATGTTTTTTTCATCAACGTAGAGATTAATTTCAGTTGGAGCCAAACATTTCCAAGAAGATTTTGCATCCTTTCACACATTTAGACAGTTAAGTGTACCACTACATATCTGGTTTTAATGATGTTCAATAGTTTTATAACATTACATAATTATTCAATGTTTCGTTCTTCCAGATGTAAAGGGTGTTCCTGTAACTGGGATTACAAGTGCTGGATTGGGCTTGAAATTCACCTGATGTTAATACATTTGAAAATGTGTGGTGTTTTGTGTTCAAAAAGCATGGCCTTCTCCAGAATAGCTTAAAGAAGTGATTGTTTGTATTTAGTATTAGAACATTAGTTATAATGTTATTCAAAGTCTAATTAATGGCACACTGGAAGAACTTCAGACCATTATTAAGCCAAAGGTGATTTCATGAAATATTAATGAAAATAATGTATACATTAATGTATTCATATTCTGTTTTCATGAATAGTTCATCTAAATTCTTTTTGTTTATTAACTTCTTCAAGCATTTGCTCAAAACAGGTGTCTACATTTTCAGGCATTGTATTGTATATATCTGTCATATAAAGAATAAATTATGGTAAATGAACTTTGCAGTTTTAAATTCTCTTTTATATTTATTACTACTTATTGGAAAAATTGTGGACCTATAAATTTTCACTCTCATCTGTCTTTCTGTCTTTCCTTAATCTCCAGAACATTGTTAACCCCTTCTGAGCCGCGCTCAAGTGTGACTCGAATGAAATTCAAGACTAGATATGGAAAGCTTAGGGGTAAGGATATTCAAACTAGTGTCATGCTGGGATAAATGTCTCAATGTTTACGGAGTTTATGTCGAAAAATAAAATAAAATAATAAAATAGTGTGTAATTTTTATGGAATGTATTAAATATTTTCTTTAATTATAAATGTTAGTCTAATTTTGGCTTGTACCTTTAATATTGGACACCTCTCGTGTATAATTTCCCCATCATAATATCAATATATATAACCAGTCAAAATACCTTATTTTTCTAGGAATTATCACATCCACAGATGCCATAATCACTAACCAATTAACAATTTTATTTTACCCAGATGCATTTCAGAAATTACAATATTTCTCTCTTCAGTGAGTTTTCTTCCAAACAAACTAAACAAAACACAAACAATTTTCTGATACACTAATAAGTACATAAAAAGTACAATAAATATACAATCATATTCACTAAAAAGCATTAAATATTTTATCTTTCAATTCCAATGTTCCAATTATTTAACTACTTTCATACTAAGGCATTTTCATCAATTTTTAAAAAACTAATATCAATAACTGTATTCTTTTGTAAACAATATTTTGTTATGTACAATCCTTGCTATTGTTACTTTCATATCATTTGCCAAAACTCCAACAGCCAAACATCTCTTCTCCTGCTGCCTACTAGCCAAAAATTGATTCCACAATTCATGTAAATTTATTCTGTGATCTTTGTTCATTAGTAATAAAAAGTTTTTACTAACTATCTATGTGTTCAAACAACTTTCTCATCATCATATTCATCTCTAAATGAACTATCGATAATGTATTAAGGTCAATCTGACATTGTTCTTCACACAATGTTTAGCTACACTTAAGTTCTTGTAATCATACCTTATTGCTCTGACATGCTCTTTAATTCTTTCTCCTAACTCTCTTCCTGTCTCTCCAATGTAAGTGAATGACTTTTTACATTCACAATTAAATCTGTATACCACATCTACCATTTTTAGTCTATTATTAATTTTATCTTCTACTGTTGTTGGTGCTCTTGGTTTATATAAACTTATTCTACTCTATTTTCTTGATCAAGGATCAATACAATATTACTTTGATAAAATATTTTCTTAATTTGTTCAAAAAGTTTCTGTATATAAGTTATTTTCCCAAATGTCTGATTCTCTAGTTTATTTATCATTCCTCCTCCTTTTTCTTCTTTTCTTTCAGGTTTCATTTTCGTTAAACATTTATTTAATATATATTTATTATATTCATTTAACAAAAACATCTTAATAATATCTTTTACCAAATCTTGTTTTATAGTGTTTGTTACTCATTATATAATGCTAACTTCTGTCCCAACTAATAACATAGATTTTATTATAATTATTTAAAACAATGGAGTCAGATTATATAGATGGAAATTCGTAATGGAAACCTTATCAGAGTTTAAACTGTATGCTGAAAACCATACTGAGGAGGCATAATATTTTTGGCAAAATGCATTTAGGTGATTTAACAATGTAATAGTGTTTTTCTCTGCAAATTTGGTTTGCTTTTACCTTTTTTAACTTTAATTTTTATTTTATTATTGATATAATGTTTTAGAATTTAAGTTATCTACTCTCCGTAAGTCAGAAAGGAAAGAAAAATTGATTTTTCATATATTTTTCTACAATACAATTAAGTAAGAATTGGATAGATTTTATTGTGTTATTGGTGAAAACAGCAATATTGATGAAAACAAATCAAGCAATTATTAACAATAACAAAAGCAAAAGTTCTCTAAAATTGCAAGTACAGTACACAATTCATTAAATAAGATACTTTTCAGGAAAATTCATTTTTAATAATAAAAGTCATATGTAGAAAGTCTTGAATATTTCAATCTGAACTTATATCACTGAATATGAACTGGGCTAAATTAAAATTTTCAGAATCATATAATCCAACCCAAAAAATATCTGAAAAAATTCACTATTCTGTATAGAGTTAATCCATAAGACCACTAATCCTTAAGATATTACTTTATAATTTGGAAAGCTTTTGTCTACACTACTATTTTGCAAAAAACTGACAATTCAAATTCAACATGACAGTTGAGTTTTTCATCTTTTACAGAAATTTCTACTGAAGAATGAGGAAAAAATTATTTTGTATATTATAAAATTATTTTAAGAAACTAAATATTTATTAAATTCTAAATAATGATTAAATTCATTGATAATTTCAGAAAGTAGAAACAGAACCTATTAAAGATTCTGGAAATGAGAAAGTTCAGTTTTTTTTGGGAAGTGTTACATCACTAGAACATCAGACAGATGATAGCAAAAATTCTCCTTTAATCATTCCTGGAAGAAAATTATCAGCTCCAACTGTGCCTTCAGTAGGTCAAACATTACGATCATCACTTAAAAAACCAATGTCAAAAGAGGGGAAAAGAGATTTGAAAGGTGTATCTTTCACTGACAACAGGTAATTATGTTAATATTTTTTTATTTGCTTATATAATAAATATTGATTAACTTATTTTACTGTAAAATTGAAGAGTTTGTATTATAAGCTATTTGCTAATTATATTTAATGAATGAACATTACATAAAATTCAGTAATACAATAAATATAGCAAATAAATTTCAATTGATGAACATAATAATGCTACTTTTTCCAATACAAAACACAATGATATATACAGTAGATCAGTATATATGTCATTGTATTTTGTGTTGGAAAAAAATAGCATGCTTATTTTCAATTGTAATTTATAACATTATATATATATTACTGAAAGACTGATATCTGGCAAATGTTGAGATTCTCTAGTGAATGTCTGCATTCACACAGTCATTTCGTGTATGTACAAAATATTTGCTAAATATCATTATTTCTCACTTACACCGGCAAATGTCTCCATTCAGCATGCACTGTTGGTGAATGTTGAATAAAAATATTTTTATTACATTAAGACAAAAATGCAACTTTTTAATATGTCAAAATAGGAGAAAGCTTAAGTAACAGCACATGTAAATAAACTGTTGAACCTAAAACGAACAGTACATTCTTAATCAGAAAAGAAAAATAATACGCAATAGTAAACTTACACATATATTATATGATTAATGTTATACAATTTTATTTATTGCAACAACTTAAACTGTTATGACACTTTGAATTTCACAAGAGTCTTTTGCTTTTACAACTGCATTTATTCATGGAACACTTCTTTTGCAATGACAGTGTGTATAGCCTTGCCCTCCATTTTTCAAATTATCTGCAGCTGCTTTTCTCAGAGATATTTCTTGAGAAGAAATCTCATCTATGGAAAGTAATTTTTCTTTACAAATTATGAACTGATTGCAAGTATAAAGCTGCTTGAGGGTACCTTTTTTGTATGCTAATTTATAAAATTTGGAGTCTTCTATTCCAACAACAACCGCCAACACATTTTGGGCATCTGCACAGTCACGGTCAACATCAGGGACTTGTATTTGTGGTATCACCAATTTGAGCAGGAGGAAATTTTCTTTTTGAGGTTTGTAACATTTTCGTTGCTTGCAATAGAAGATTCTTTTTTGTGGCTACTCTTTTTATAGAAATAAATTCATGTTGTTCAGTCAAGGCTTGACATGAAGACGTGGTGGGTTGCAGCTCCTCTTCAATATTTTCCTTTGGAATATGGTATTCGTTATGGCCACTGCTCAAATTTCCTTCAAAGTATTAACAATTTCTTCGAGCTGTTCTTTGGTTTCAATATTTGTGATTTATTTGCCAGGCAAAGATGACAATGCCATGCTTCTTTTTGGTTTAATGCTAAACATGGCTTCATAAGGACTTTGGCATATTCCTTCCTGATATGTAGTGTTCTTGGCAAAATTGTACAAAGGGAAAACCATCTGACCATTTATTTGTATCTTTATTGTTCATCCATGTAGTTAACATATTCTGTATATCCTGATTGGCCCTTTCAACTGAGCCTTGTGTTTGACTATGACGAGGCTTTCCATGAACTATCTTAACATCTTTCCACATAGCGCATAGTTCGGATATGACTTGATTACAGAATTTCCTACCATTATCTGAATGCAATATAGCTGGGGCACCAAATGTTAAAAATATTTGAAGAAGGTGATATGCTACTTCTTCAGCTGTCTTAGTTTTCAAAGGTCGTCGCTGGACAAATTTTGTTAAATGATCTTAATACATCGTTATGAACTTATATTCGCCATCCTTGTGTGACTGCAGGTCTATCAGATCAACTTGACACCTTGAGTTTAACTCTGAACTGACCATTGGTTTCACAACAATACCTTTTTTAGGTGCACTATGTTTCATTTGACATTGTTTACATAAATTTAAATACAACATTACAACTTCATATGTAATATTTTTGTATTTAAGTTGCAATTCTTTAAACATATGTGTTCTTCCTCCATGGCCTGTTTTGCTGTGAGTTTCAGATAGTATACTGAACAATTTATCATTGGTAACATAGTACTGTATATTCATTTCTCCTGGTTTTAATGGTACAATTAATTTCTCTTCATCATTAATTTTTAAAACGTCAAAATGTTTTAATCATCTGTAATCCAAAGGTGTGCTGCACTTAGTTTTAACAGAAATCACTTCAGAAAGTATTTTAGAGTACTTTTCTTGAGAAAAATAAAAACAATTATCTTCTCGTTTACTTGCAATTAATGCACATAACTTTTCAAAAAAAAGTTCTTTGTTCACTGCAATATCCATTCAATATAAATTAGGGTATTGGATAAAAAAATAAAATTTAAGAAAATGTTGCACGCACCAGCAAACCTTGCATAAGACTGACAAACAGCAGTGTTCCAGAGTATAACAAATAGATACCAATGATTTCAATCACGGCAGAACAAAGGATTTGGTGACAGACTGTCGCCTTTCTGTCAACATCGGCTTCTCAGGTGTCATTTCAACCTCCACCAAAGCTTATCTATGCTTGTTGACATACACCGGCGATTGTTCAAATGTATAATAATATAACCAAATATTTGGTCTTTTATTGATGTATTTTGTATGTGCCGACATTCTCTAATTTCAGTCTTTCATGGTAACATATATATATATATATATATATATATATATTTCATATGATTAAAAGTAATTTGCTTGAAGGAAACAAATTATTTTAACTATTTTCTTTAGAATTATACTCTTATTTGTAATAATCATTAATATAATCTCACTAATCTGGCAAGTCCTTGCACAGAGAGCTGTTACATTAGTGAAAATACTGGATTCTTCAGTGTGTATTGGCCAAAAGGCAATGAATGATGTGACCTGTTGCTCTCTGGTGCTGATTGTTTTGGAGGCAGGCAGGCAAATAATACATTGTGCTGAAATACAATACTGTATACAGAAACTTTAATAAACAGGAAAAAAGGAAGTATGGTATAACCAACACTTACATGGAAATAGAAGTGCAAAGGCAATCACACTAGAGGGTATTCCCAATAATTGAGAGACCAAATTAGTGAGAATCTACTGTAGTATATCATTACTAAACTTTTTATTATTAATATTATGTAAAGTGACCAAACTTCCAAATTAGTCAGTACAATCCCACTTTTTACTATGCTGTCCTGATTTTGAAACTGTCAGTTTTTAAAATGTCTGAAAAATGTCCTATTTTTGAACTGTTTTATAGTTATGTTCAAAAGTAGTCAATATTCTTTGCATGAATTGTAAGTCAAAGATGAATTGCATAAAAATTATACATAAAAATTTTAATATCCAATTGTGTGGATCAGTTATAAAAGGGAGTTGATGGTTTTTGCTAATTATCTGAAAAAATATTAAAAAATTGGCAAAGCTACACTTAGAAGCTGTAATTAAATTGTTCATTCTTACTATTGCTGTAAATTATTATTTTGTAAACAGGAGTATGTGAATAAATAAAATGTTCATTGGTTGTTTGTAACATGATGTCAGAAAGCTAGAAAACCAATGATCGTCAGCTGGAATTGATCACATGACTCATTGTGTCCAGTTGAAATGCCTGACTTAATGTTCTGCTTTTTACATTTCAGGATCTAGTCACTTTAATAAAAAGCTACAGGGCTACAATGTTAACCAGTTTATAGCACACAATATGCAGCTACATCTATAGTTTTATTTAATTTTGTATGCCCTATTTAAGAATGGTTAACACAACTGACAAATAAATAATGATTTTTTTTATAGATAACTAACATATATTAATACATGTATTAATAGATAGATAACATGTATTAATAGATAACTAACATCAAAGATGCAGTTATCTATTAGAGATATTAAAAAAGTAATACATGCATATAAAATAAATAATGAAATGAATATATAATTGATTAATTTCAATAAATATCAATACTACAGTATTTGGTCTTTTTGTAATTTAAATTATTATTTTTTTGTCTAATAACATAATGATTTCTATAGATAAGTTTTAGATAAAATGTAATCTGCAGAATTTTGTGTTCAAAAGTTTGACATATTTTCTTTTCTTTACAGAAGAAACATTGTAATAGAACTTTATTTATTTGCAAAGCATAAGCAATAAATGGTTTATTGCATTTTATTTAAGGTCAGGTGGGATAAGTACACCCTTCATTCTGAAATTTGAAATTTCTGGTTAGTAAGAAGAGTAATGATTATTTGATTTCAAAAACCAATTTTTGAAATAACTTATCTGGTTCTATAGCAACAAGTCATGAATATTGCAGGTCTCAAGTGAGTGCTATTTGTTGACTCAGAATATGCTTTTAAAAATTATACTGGAGGGCACTTACCCCCCACTAGTGGAAGTAAGTGTACCTTCCATTGTAATAACTAGGAAAATCCAAATAAAATCTAATTCTGGGACAAGTGTACCAAAGCTTGACAGTAGACAGTATCCTTTCATTTGTATAGAGACTTCAGTACACTTCATTGTGGGTTCAAGCATAGCAAATAAAGTAATGATAGCATACTTAAAAGGCAACAGTAAAATCTGCATTATATATTGTAATTTACATCTCCCTGATTACAATAAAAATGTAAAGTGTTTTACAAGACAAGATGAAATTGCCTGAGAGTAACTTTCTCTTGAAAAGACTGACTAAGACTACTTTTGAATTACCTTACTCCAGGTTATAGTAATACCTGAAGATGCAACAAAAAGTAATTAAACATATATTCCAAAATGGCAGAAGTGTTTTGTCCTTGTAACAAAGCACAAGGACAAAACACTTCACAACTTATAGTATTTACATCTATCGTTCTACAATATTCATCTAAATATTGTATCTTAAATTCACAAATAGTGGATTTTAAATACAAAAATTAATATACTGCATTCCTTCAAAAGAAAACACTAAACTTATCCAGACTTTTCAAATCACTGTTGCGATCGTAGAAGCAGCCACGTTGAAATCAATTCCAATACTATTTTGGGTTCTTGACCAAATAAACACAGATCTTAAAAG